CATGGCTATGCAGGTTCCTCTTCAGCTGAGGGAAATTCCGTTCCTCCTCCTGTTATTTGTCAAATTTGCTATGCACCAGTTCATCCCGCTTCCACGTGTCCTTCTCGTTTCGTGCAGCCGACTGCACCTGCTCTTGCTGCTCAGGCTCCTGATGCTTCTGAGATGGTTTGGTATCCTGATTCAGGTGCCTCAGCGCATATGACTCCTCATTCAGGTATTTTGACTAATAAATCATTTTCTCCCAATTCTCATTCTATAATTGTAGCAAATGGTACAACACTCCCAGTTATGCATTCTGGTTAGATCTCATTATCTTCGTCTGCCAGACCTCTTCACTTAAAATCTGTTTTGCATGTGCCTCACATTAAGTATAATCTTTTGTCCATTCAAAAATTATGTGCTGATAACAACTGTGCTGTGATATTTGATAAAAATAATTTTTTGTAAAGGATTTAACAACGGGGTTGGTCCTTCTTCGAGCTCATAGTGATAATGGCATTTATCCCATTCGCCAGCCTGCACCGTCGCATGTTGCTCTATCTACTGCATCCCTTTCCGTTTGGAATAATAGATTAGGCCATTGTGGCTCTCGTGTGTTAGATCAGCTTAGATTGAACAATTTTATTTCTGGTACTTCTGCTAATATTTCTAATTGTATTCCGTGTCGTTTGGGAAAATCGCAACGGTTACCATTTAATAAAGTTTTTCATAATAGTCCTTGTCCCTTATATTTAATTCGTTCTGATGTTTGGCAGTCTCCTGTGTTGTCTCATTCAGGCTTTAAATATTATGTGTGTTTTGTAGATGATTTTTCTCGCTTTACTTGGGTCTATCCCATGCGGCGTAAGTCTGAGATTACTACTCATTTTCATCATTTTAAATTAATGATTGAAAAGTTACTTGACCGCAAAATCAAGATTTTTCAGAGTGATGCAGGGGGTGAGTTTGACAACTATAGTATGCATAACATTTTTATTGACCATGGAATTATTTTTCAAAAATCATGTCCTGAGACTCCACAACAAAATGGCGTTGCTGAGCGTAAGCATCGACATTTACTTGAATTGGCTCGCACTATGCTTATCACTGCTAGTTTGCCTGCTACTTTTTGGGTAGATGGCGTGCTTACTGCTACTTTTATAATTAATAGAATACCCTCTCCTACTCTACATGGTTTGTCTCCTTTTGAAAAACTTTTTCATATTCAACCCGACTTATCGTTTCTTCGTGTTTTTGGTTGTGCATGCTTTCCCAATTTTTCTGCATCATCTGCTAACAAATTGCACCCACGGTCTGTTATGTGTATTTTCTTGGGATATGCGTCTGAATATAAAGGGTACCGTTGTTTTGATCCTACATCTGATCGTGTTTATATTAGCAGAAATGTCCGTTTTTTAGAAAATATTTTTCCTTATTCTGGTCTAGCTCGTCCTGCTGTGTCCTCTTCTATTATGCCTTCGTTTGCCTCCCTGATTTATCATCCCAGCCGAGATCAACCCCACACTGCTCCTAGCATCCCATCACCTTGCACTCTCCAGCCCCCACCCGTCTATGACCTGCCCTCATCCACTTGCCATTCCACCATTCCCAGTAGCCCGCTGCCACAAACCCCACCTGCTGCAAACCTTGAAACCTCACCTGCAGCAACCCTTCACCATCAAAACACACCTGCTGCAACCCTTCAACTGGCCCCACCAGTCAGTAGCCTTGAAAACCCTCAGCCTGCCACTTCTTATGCCGAGACAACTGCCCCATCCCCTGAGAGCTCATCTCCGGTTGTTAATGTTCACCCAATGCAAACCCAGTACAAATCCGGAATTTTTAAACCAAAAACTATTTTTACACTAAGCACCGTTGTTAACACACCTGATCCCAATTGTTTTTCTTCTGCAAATAAACATCTTAAGTGGAGAGCTGCTATGGCAGAAGAATTTAATGCTCTTATCTCTAATCATACTTGGGATTTAGTTCCATTTGATGCTAACAAGAATGTGGTTTGGTCTAAATGGATTTATAAGACTAAGTATTTGGCTGATGGGTCTGTTGATCGCTATAAAGCTCGCTTAGTTGCACAGGGGTTTAATCAGCAAGCAAGTATTGATTTTACTGAGACTTTTAGCCCCGTTGTTAAACCTACTACTGTTCGCCTTGTTCTTACCTTAGCAGTGTCATTTGGTTGGCCCATACGCCAACTAGATGTCAAGAATGCTTTTCTTCATGGTAGTCTTACGGAGGAGGTATACATGCGTCAGCCACCAGGTTTTGTTCATCCCCAATTTGCTCATCACTTGTGTCGACTCCGTAAAGCTATTTATGGCCTTAAACAAGCACCTCGTGCTTGGTTTCACCGTTTCAGTAGCTTCCTTCTTTCTCATGGTTTTGTCTGCAGCTGATCTGATAATGCTTTATTTTTTTTTCGGCATCATTCTGATATTATCTATCTATTACTATATGTTGATGATATTATAGTTACAGGCAATTCCCCAAAATTAGTGTCTCATTTCTTATCCCTTCTTGCTAAATGCTTTGCCATGAAGGATTTGGGGGATTTGCATTTTTTCCTGGGCGTTCATGCGACTAGGACTCCGTCCGGTTTATTTCTTTCTCAGCATAAGTATATATCTGATCTACTTCTTCGTTTTCACTTTCATACATTAAAACCTGTCCGTTCTCCTCTCCCGAGTCGCACTAAACTCCCTCTCACTGATGGGGAGCTTCTTGCAGATGCCACGGAGTACAGGAGTATGGTAGGTGCATTACAGTATTTAACTTTGACTAGGCCAGATATTACTTTTGTTGTACACTTGGTTTCTCAATTTATGCATGCCCCCCATACTTCACATATGTTGGCTAGGAAGCGTATTTTCAGGTATCTACAGGGCACATCCACACATGGACTTCTTCTACAGGCTTCTCGTGATCGCCCAGTTCTTATTGCATATTCCGATGTCGACTGGGCTGGCTGCCTAGACACTGGTCGCTCTACCTCAGGCTGTGCTATTTTTCTAGGGCCTACTCTTATTTTGTGGCGTTCCAAGAAGCAACCAACTGTTTCCAGATCTTCCACTGAGGCTGAATACAGAGCTGTTGCACTCACTGTTCAGGATACTCTTCATGTTCGCTCGGTGCTATTTGAGTTGGGCTTTCCCGTTCGTGATCCTACTACGCTGTACTGCGATAATATTAATATCGACTATCACTTTGTTCGTGAACGGGTGGCTCATGGAGATCTACATGTTAAATATATTCCTACTCAGTCTCAACTGGCAGATATTTTTACTAAGTGTTTATCTCCTCAACGATTCATTATTCTTCGTGATAATCTGCGCATTGTTCCCCCTGCACAGCTTGAGGGGGTGTAATAGTGTATGTTGAGTATGTGGTTTTGTTGATGACTAACCACGCAGGTGGAACAAGGGACAGAACCGACTACGGAGAGTTCTAATACGAACTCTTTACAGAACAGCTCCACGAAATGTGGATAGACCTGGGTCGGAAGTAGCGGTTCTGCGTCGGGATCAAGACTGAACAATCGATAAAGAAGTCCAGGACCCGAGCCTCAAATTTTCAGACAAAGACTGACCAGTCTCGGTTACGATCCTATTTTTTGCTTTGCATTACAACAATTACGAAGCATGTCAAAAGTGGTGTAATCCATTAATTATAAGTTGAAATTATTAATACTTAATTAATGTGCCAAGTACTTTGTGTCTGATGAAATCACTACTGATCTCCCAAAGAGGAGGTCGCAGGTTAAATTCTCACCCCAATCATGTTGGCATTAACATGAGCAGAACTAGAATACTCCCCCCGTTCCTAAAAGAATTTCCATTTTGCTTATCGAGGGTCAACTTAAATCACTCTTAAACTTTTACTTTTTATATCAAAATTTTATAAAAGTTGAATTATTTTTTGCAGGCTTTGTAGCGGGTTTAATGTAGTTTCTGAATATGTAAATTTTATTTACTAAAAATAATCCAAGTTTTCACATAGATAATTTAACTTTATCGTCGGTTAACCTTCGTAATCCGCAATTGGAACAACATTTAGGGACAGAGGGAGTAGGTTTATAAGAATATTCCAAAAAAAAATACTAAATTAATTTCGTAATAAATAAATAAATAAATAAATAAATAAATAAATAACAAATTTTTTTATGGTCTAATATACCCTTCATGCATGTTATACCTATAAAACCCTAACCTCTTATTCCTTTTCTCCAACCCTAGCCTCTAGCCTCGCCCTACCGGCGCCACACAGCTGCCTACTGCTGCAGTCCCGCCGCACGACCACATCTGCCGCTGCTGCCTATCCCTACGGCCATGGTTATGACATCCTCCCCAACAATATATGATGAAATTTGGCATAACGCGATGAGTTTGCACACATTTCCAAATGAAATTTTTTCTATTTTTTTCCTAATTACAAATTGACAAAATAATCTTATCTCAATCAAATGAAATACATTTCACATATATAAGTGTATAACCATTTTATTCTTATATTTTGTTGTGAATAAGTATCCAGTTCATAATAGCAAACAATTAAAATTACACTTGGTGTTTTAAATACCAAAAAAAATGAATCTGCAGTTCATACCCCATTAACCCACCAAGAATTTTAGTGTTGGACCTTTTGCCTTTAGAAGAGATCAAGAAGCACACAATAATAATTTATTGGGATTAGGTCATCAATATAGCTAAATAAATGGACTTGGACAAATATAGGAGCTCTTTTAATGGTTGCCAGAAAAGAGACCATACGTATGATCTATGAGTAAGTTTGGCATAGGAATTATCAAATATACCCCTGCCTAACTAATATCCAGCAAACTACTCAATATGCTTGCGTTGCTTACGTATCATTCTTCCCCGTTCCCCGGCAGATGCAAGTTTAAAGAAATTGACTCTTATATCCTTCTTCCCAATTAATTCCGTGGGGATTTACAATTAATTGATACGATCACTTACACTTGTACCAAATAATTACAGTTACTTATCCCATGATAAAAAAAATTACAGTTACGTATTCCACCCGTTACAATTATACGTCCAAATAATTACAGTTACCTGTCCGACCAGTTACATTTATACGTTTAAATAGTTACAGTTACTCGTCCAACCAGTTACAATTGCCACCGCCAGTTACAATTACTCGTCCAATCAATTATAGTTACATGTCCGACCAACTACAGTTAAACGTCCCGATCATTTACAATTAATCAACCCCACCAGTTACAGTTACCCGATCTAACCAGTTACAATTATTCGATCTGATCACTTACAGTTACTTGATTCAATCAATTACAATTGTCCGATTTGATCAGTTATAGTTACCCGATCCAATTATGATTACCCAGTTGGACTATTTGCAATCACTCGGTCTCTGACAGCCACTTCTGAATGACCGCCACCCACCCGTCAAGTAACCGCCGCCCCACCACTTCCAGTGACCGTCATCCTGTCACTTCCGGTGGCCGTCGTCGCCGTAAAAGTGACCAGCGCCATAGCCGCCTCGCTCCTTCTGCTTGTTGGCTCCTGGCCTACCCCGCCCCATCCCATCCCGCAACCGTCGTCCGCCCCTGTCCCATCCCAGCCTCCACCAGCCTAGATCCAGCCCCCAAACGTCGATCCACCCCCAACCCGCCCGATTCTGCCACCAGCCACGACGAAGACATGACCCCAATACGCTCCACCTCCAACACACATGATCCATCAACCCCCGTAAGTGCAATCGCAACCATTTTTGAACCGCCGCCAACACCTAATTGGAAGCCCTGGATTCCGATGCGAACAAAACTTGGAGCTCCAGATCTAAATATATGTCTCTGATTGGGCTTTAATGTCCAGAGTCTAGCGGATTTTTGCGGACAGAAGAAAGTAGAAGAAGATCAAGGGATTGTAACCGACGACGAGGGCGGAGACCGAACTAGGCGGCGGAGAAAGGGGGCGGCAGAGGCGAGGTGTCATCGCCGGCTGCCAAGGCAGACGCACTGCCGCTGGATGTTGTTGCCATTCATCGGAGTTGAACCGCTGGTTTGGGAACCATCCTTGTGCGTGAGCTTTGGTTCGAATGGAAGAGGAAGGTAATGACTGTACGCGAGCTCTTGTTCAGACGGAAGAGAAAGTGATTGCAGGAGCAGATTTTACTATTTATACGAGGACACTTTTGTCAGTTCACATTTCTTTAGTCTCATTATCGTCCATATTATAATTAGGTCTTATTTTTGTAAATGCCAAACTCGGTGGTCCTATGGCTGCCATTTTTTCTAATTTATTCCGAATAGAGATAAAGACGGGTTCTAAACTTCCATTTCAAGAGCAAACAATAATCACACTTTGGGAGATGAGATGGTCTAGAACGGGCGGCTGAGTCAGCCAATACTAAACAAAACAAATTTTCACCAAAAATGTACACACCATTTTTTACTAAGTTTAGGTGGTAGCTGGTGACCTGAGTGGCGCCCCCTCCGCCCATGGTTCTAACTTTTAAGTACTTTACAAATTCATTTCATTAATCCAATTTTCGGACCAAATCAGTTAACGTTGTAATATATTTGTAATTAAAATAAGTAATGTTTGAATTATTTTCTAAATTGGTTATTAGTATTTATTGTAGATGATTACCCTAATTTCAACTATTATTTCTGTTACATTTTATGTGTCTTCACTTGGTTTGGTAGAATTATTAATCAAAAGATTGAAAGGTAGCATGACACTCATTTTGAAACAACCAAAAAAAGAAAGTAAGACAGATGAAATGAGACGAAGCGAGTATTTTTCACTATAATTTTTTCTTTGTTTTATTAGTAAAATATTTTGTGAATATAATTTTTCCATAATTGTATCGATTTAATAAATGTAGGTGTCTGGGTCAAATTTTTATCAATCTTAACAAATTCAACATACTCATCTAGTTTTAGTGTTAGGGCTTTAAATATAGCTTAAGATGGTTTTGTATTTTTCGAAGGTTGAATGTATCTAATCTAGTCTGATTTTAATTTAAATGTTCCGACATTATCGTGTAAATATAATTTTATTGTGATCTCGTCTAAATTTGACCATATATGTAAGTTTTCTGTTTAATTTGGCCCGGTTTGGACAAAATAGGAATAAGTGAGAGGAAATTTTCAAAGTGTTACTCCGTACTAAATTATAACCACCTTATTTCGGGTGTTGTGTTTTATTTTCTTAAACCTTATATATTTCATTATCATTTAATTAAGAAATTATTGAATAGAGAACGCCATTATTTTCTACCAATAAGGATGTTTTTTTTCGGACTGAAATTTGCTGGTCTGATCTGGTTTAGTCTTGTAAACGTCTGATCCCTGTGTATTTTATAACTACGGAAGTCTGGTCTGGTCTGGGACTGAAAACAAAAACATCCTAACACGAAAAAGGTTTAAAATTTGTACTTCCGCTTGTTCTTTAGCATTCAATGAAGGGATAACAAAATTTTAGATGTCTACAAAATTTCAAGGAACTATTTGTTTGTTGATATTGCTTCTCTGTTTTTACACCAACTATATAGACCAATTCAATTTTAAGAAATTACTTAATATAAAACTAAAAGATGGACAAAATTCAAAAATAATACTAAATATATACTCTAGTCCAAAATATTATGTTCCTTGCATTGGATTAATTAGTCCCTTGAAAGAAAATTTCGGGTATAACTCATCAAAAGTCATGGCTTTGCTGTTATTTCTTTCAATTTACTGCCAAATTCCATGTCTATATATATGGATTGTTGGGTTTTTTTTTAAATTAAAATAAAGCCCTAATTTATTGAAATTTTGAATTTATCTCTCTTCATTTTTGTAATACACACGTGGAGTCAAAATGACTAGAGATTGAAGAAAATTTCTTAAATAGGATTTAATTATATCACATATGATATATGTTTTTGCGACTATGTAAACATTTTAATGCATTTTCTAAAGGCTAAAGAGTCAAATAGGCCCTTGAACTAACTTAAAGTGTCCAATTAGCCTCTTGTATAGGAGGTTCTGCCTGGCCGTGGCCAATTAGGGCGTTTCCCTGTGCTAGATTTTTACCGCTCTGGCGACGTAGTATAGACTATAGAGTGCAATAAATTAGGAAATTTACCAAGTTGATCTCTCATGCGACAAGTTTCTAAAGCCAAAACGAGCGAGCGTATGGCTCCATAATCATTACTAATCTTTTAGCGAATGGCATTAATGTGTGCGGAAGTGTCCTAGAATAAATTAGACGTCTCTTAATTTATTCTATGTCCATTTACAATCCTAGTGGTCATTCTAGGTTATAAAAGATATCAATTAAATAATTCAAACACAAATTAAATTAAAATCGTACAATTAAATCATCAAGAAATTAAACTAATCATTGTCCCTAGATCATAATTAACACCTTCATCAATCTCAAATCTCTAACTAAAAGTACTCACAATTCATAATTGAATTAAAATAGAATTGAGAAGGAAATAATTAATTCTCATGAAAATCTTGACAATCCCAAAATGCGTGTTGAAATATGGACTGATCAAATTTGCTCACATTTAAGCTTTTGCTTGTTCTCAACCAAACTGAATTTCGGGACTTACTATAATCATAAACACAACATTAATAATCATCAGCACGCCCATGTAGTCAAAAGTATACATGCCATATTTATTTTAGCATAATTGATGATGATATTTAGACAATCTCATATGTAAGAACGCGAACAATGCATACATGACATGAGATAGATAAACACATAAAAATTAATAAGTAGAATATTTATTTCACCTCCTTATCTGATAGGTTATATATGTTTTTGGTTACCTTTTCTTCACAATATCAAATACTTCGTACAGTGTATGGATGTGTTACTTTTTAACTTTTTGTTTCTTTTTTATTTCATTCTTTTTTCCCTTAATAAATATTTAATTAAAATTTGGAAAAGTAAATTATACATTTACTTATATTCTGGTGGGCCAAAACTTTTTTTGGGTTGATAGTTTTATTTTATTCATATATATAATGATAAAAATATCTTACATGGCCACCGACTCACCGAGCCTCTACTAAGCTTCACCCTTTGATTTGGTTTTTATGTCCAGCATACATACTTCTTTTTTGAAATAAAACACTGTTTTCGGAATACAAACAGGAATGTAATTAAAACAATCGTTATGAACTCATCCGCCTTTGTCAGGGGTTTCCGAGCAAGAGAATGAGATACCCTGTTTGCGGACCTTTTACAATGATAGTCGATAGACTCCAATATTTCCTCCATCGGAGATGCTTCGTCTAATGTAACGACCGTCCCCAAAACGGTCATTACGATACTCAAACATAAAAGAGATTCGATAATCAAAGTGAAAATAAAGATACAAAGCCTCGATGTGAGACTTTATTTCCTTAAAAATAGAATCAAACCTAGACCTGCACAAAACCGGGCCGGCCCGCCCAGCCCGCCCAACCGGCCCGCACAAATGGGCGGGCTTGGGCATATATATTTACCCACCGGGCCGGGCCCGGCCCGACCCGCAATAACTTATGGGCGGGCTTGGGTTAGGGTGTAGGCCCGTTCGGGCCGATAAGCCCGGCCCGCTACATTTAATATATATATATATATATATATATATATATATATAATTTATTTATTTACATGTACATTTATTTTTTCTAATATAATTTATCTTTATACATATTTATAGTTTATTATGTTTAAATTTAGGTTTATAGATCTGAACCACTAGCCCAAGTAATATAGTATCTATTTTTGTACTTAAAGATAATACTTTGTGCTTGAATTTTAAATTTTAGATATAGTTTCTCATTATTATTTTTGTGTAAGTATTATTTTTGTATGTGGTGAAAGACCTATAAACATTACACGCATATTAACAATTTTTAAATGTTGTAATATTAGTTTTAAATTATTAAAAAAAATTCGAAAAATATAAAGGTTTTCCGGGCCCGGAGGCCCGGTGGACTACCCGGCCCACTCTTATGGCGGGTATAGACATGGGGTTAGGCCCGTTTTTGCGGGCCGGGCCGGGCCCGCCCACATATGATGGGCAAAAAAATTATAAAAAGCCCGGCCCGAGCCCGGCCCGAACCCGTTTTTGTGCAGGTCTAATCAAACCTTACAAGCATAAGGAAAGGCATCCAAAATAAAAACATCTTTAAAAACCGTTACACCTGATCAGAATTTTAAAACATTTAACAACCCTTTGAAGTACCAACATACTAAAACAACAACATAACTGATAGCCCGATCTTCTCCGTTAACCCATCCAAAACCTTGTCACTGGCTCCATACATTCTCTCAGGCTTCCGTACTTCGTTTATTACCTATACATGAGAACATAAGAGAATAGAATTCTCGTTAGCAATAATGCTTAGTAAGTCACCATTTCATCCAGTAAAAACATTTAAGGAACCTTAGCTAATCATAAATAGATACTCATGATGAATACACCACACATATACTGTAATCACACATGATAACAACACATAAGCATTCATGTATCAAATACAAAGGGATTTCCTTACTCATCACTCTTTCTTCTTATCTTATTCCTTGACTTTATGGGCCCGTAACTCGTGTCCTGGCCCATCGCTGATGACCTCGGGTAGCTAGCTCTCAGCCATCAGAAGCAACTCTGGGACTCCCCGTGGAAGGAGATCCCGCTACGCTCAGCTCAGGTAGTTACTTGGGGGCACGGCTACCTTGCAACATTACTTATCTTTCATTACTTTCATTATCATCATAACTTCCTGTACTAGTTGGTTCCATATGAACCCAACCCCGAATCAAACATAGAACTTGAAACTCACATATCTTATGCCATACAATTTCAAGTATTCACACACATACATCAAATTCATATTATTCCATAGCTTCACAATTAACAAACATATGTCAATAGATACATATAACTTGGAACTCACATATTGCATACCATACGATTTCAAGTACCCAAGCACATATATCATATCCACAATTAGCTAATCTTCCATCATTTATTTAGAACTATCATGTATAGGTGGTGGTGACTTACCTGTTAACGGTTGAACTCAAAATAGTCAAAATAAGTGTGACATCTTGATAACGTCTTCTGGTAAGCTCTTCTCTTAAAT